TGACTCGATCGACAATTGCTCGGTTTCAAGAGCAGTGGAAGTGTTCGACTCCTGAATGGTTGACACCAGAGAGCAGCCTGAGGTTTTGTGGCTTTGAGATTGCTCAGCAGCAGAAGGGACTTCGCCTACATCAGGAGTCATACCTGCGGGACCTTTTGGCCAGGTATCCTGATCTCAAGCCAGCTCAAAGTCCGCTGCCAGGAGTCTTGGATGAAACGGAGGAGCCGAGCCCGGAGATTGCGGATGTCCGCAAGGCGCAGACTCTAGTTGGGGAGATGTTGTGGCTGGCAGTGAGATCGAGGCCGGATATTTCTTTTGCGGTGTCATGGTTGGGGCGGCAGGTGACTCATTGTCCATGTCGAGTTCAACGATATGGAGCACAAGTTTTGGGGTTTTTGCAGAGCACCATGGGTCTGGGCCTGTTGTACGAAGCACCATCCGATGCACCTCAGCTGGAAGAGAACAAGGGCATTCACATGTACTCGGACGCCTCATTTGGTATTTCTGGGTTCCGTGGTCACCAAGGCCTCATAGCGATGTACTCAGGCGCTCCAATCCAATGGGAAAGCAAGCAGCAGCCCTTTGGCACCTTGTCAAGCTCAGAGGCGGAGTTGATGGGGTACTCTGATGCCCTGACGACGGGGGAGTCCTGTGCCTCCATCATAGCGATCTTGGAGAGTGGGGATGCGAACGAGGCCATCGATTGCGTCCTTCATGGTGATTCCCAGTCTGGCATTCGCATTTTGCAGTCGCCGGACGGTCCGTGGAGAACAAGGGAGCGAATCCGCACTGGCTGCTGGCAGGCACGTCATGAGCCGGGAGCTTCACTGTCGGTGGACTTGTTGACCAAGTCAATTGTCAGCCCGCCTTCATGGAGGAGGTTCCGAGAGTTCACTGGTCTGTGCGCTGGGGCATCGCCTGTGAAAGCGATGGAGAGTTGCGCGCAGATCGAGCGACTGATTCCGCTACTGAGCGGGCTGATAGGCATTTCTTGTTGGCAACCAGCGAATGCGATTGCCAAGGTCGCCAAAAGTGTGACCATCGCAGCTGTAGCTTAGGAAGGGTGGAGAAGACCTAACAAGAGCTTGTGACCCGGCATTTGCTCGGACGAAGGCGTCCGAAGGGGGCAATGTCGAAAGAAGAAAATGTCAAGAAGAGACAAGGGAAAATGAACCTGTCTCCAAATCGGGCCGCGACCCTAGCCTGAGTGCTTTGAGGGCGCCAATCACCCATGTGGGGCTTGGCACTGATCTCCCATGGGAGCTGATGAGGTTTGGCACTCCGCCGACGGGAACCGACAGATGGGAGTGCCTTGGCGTGGGTCTTGGTGGTGGTGAATGGTGGGTCAGGGTTTTGAGAAAACCTAGGGTGCGAACCTTCCATCCACTACATCGTGGAACTCCAATGTCAGTAGCAAGACTCTCAGCGACCAGAGTCACAGTGGCTTTTTCGCGGGGAAATCCGCGAGAAGTGTGGAAGCGTGTGGTCGTCACCGACGACTGGATGGAGAACAGGGGCTCTGATGTGGAGGGGCTTCATGAGTGGTGTGGCTACGCCTTCTTCTATGTGAAGTTTGAGGCCTTGCCAGAAGGAAGAGCTGGAAATCTCGATCGGCGTGATGACAGGCCGGGACCACTTCCGCCGCCGGGATCGGTGTCAGCAATCAGGGGCTATGGAGGCTCCAATCCAGAGAGTTCAAGAGCAGCTCAACGGGGTCGAAAGGCCCTGCAGGGTTCGGAGAATGCAGAAGAAGAGGGCGTCACCTACGGTGGAAGGGGCATCAGTGCTTGTGATATTGAATCCATCGAGGGTGGCAAGATGACGGGCTATGAGCTTAGACTTCAAGGACGTGAGCATCGGGGGGAGATGGGAGGCGATCCTGGCCAGTTGACAGAGAATGCGCCCCAAGCAGCAGGTTCAAGTGATTCACCACCGTCCTGGTCATGAAGCTAGGCGAGAAGGCGAAGAGACTGAGTCGGATGGAAGCTTTGAATTTCTACCCAGCTCCAGATGAAAAAACCTGCGGCTGGTGTAGGCTTTTGAAATGATGGCACGGCCATCAGGGGGAGTGTGAGTCCCCGCATTTTCACGAAATGTGTCCACAGGTGTTACACACACCAACCAACGCTGTTCATGGCTCAAGAAAAGCAACGTCCGCTTTTCTCCATTGAAGGAAACAGAAACGATCACGACCAAAATGGCACCGTGTGGCCTCGACCCATGACCCAGCAATCTTTTGATGTTCTTCCACTCCAATGAAATCAAGTCTTCGAAATCATCAACCCCTGCAGGATCCTGCGAGAATCCGGGATGCATCAGGGCCAAAACTGCTCTCCACCCGTCCAGGTGCGTCAGGTGCTCAGCCGCAAGGGCGGCCAGGCAGAGCTCTACACCTGGGCGAGCTTCTCCGAGGCGATGCAGGACGCCAATCCGTGCAGCTCAGGTCACACGTAACAAGACTTAGTTATTGTTTGCATGTTTTTCAACGCGGAAGCAGATTGGTCACCTGTGGCAGTTGCTGGGACCGAATTGGTTGTTTGAGTTGACTTCCGCTTGTGATCAACTCATCATGTGTCCTTTCCTGAATCGAGCACTTGTGGCACTCTCCATGGGCCAAGGCAGCCCACGGAGACGTGGGAATCCAGCCGTACCTAGCATTGCACTCACTCCCAGAATGAGGATGGATGTTGTGAGGGTTGAAGGATGTTGAAGGTCTTTTGGCAGCCGAAATGCGTGAACTGACAAGGTCAAACACATGGCATGTCACTCAAGAACTACCTCAGTTCTCTACGCCTGGCACATGTTCGGCACCAATCTTGCCTTCTCGATGCAGTTCGTCAACCCCTTTTTGCCCCAGGAGGCACTTGCAGACTGGTCCTCAAGGGACCAGGCCTCTTGCTGAGCAAAGGGCTTTCAACGAGTTCATAAGTGGTCTCAGTGGGCGGCACCGCTGGGCCAAGAAAGAAGATATATAAACTCTCGGGTTCGGTCGCGTTGTCATGCGTTGTCCTTTGTCCAACCATAGCAGCACATCCAACAGCCGAAGCGTTTCCCAGAAGTATATAGGCAGGTCCTATGGTCGCACGGGGCACGTCCGGGTTTTTCGGGCCGAGACGTTTTGCAGACGGCAAGGCTCAAGAGCTGCTAAGCAGCTTCCAGGTGTTTGATCCTCAAGGCAGGGAGGCTTGATCATGCTAATATATCCTAACCCTACCAGAGGCTGGAGTTTCACATAGTGTCAAACTTTCACTGGCTAGTGGTAGCTTATGTTTGTTTCTGTTTGATTGTCGTGGTGATAGGGTTAAGACTTCAAGTTCAAATGTTGAACCCGACGGCACTCATCCTCCGCAAGATGCGAGGCACTGGCCTCCTTTCGCAGCAGAAGATCTTGGAGATCCTTCGCATGGGAGGCGCACTTGGGAGCTGACGTCGGAACCGAACCGCGTTTGACGTCGGAACGGACAGACCTTCGAAGGAGACCCTGTCTTTACTGCCCGCTTGTTCAAGCTTGTTTGGAGCTCGCTCGAATGAGGATCCTTTTTTTTTGGGGGGGGGGCGTGAGGAGAGACCGCTGAACTTTTTCGGAGGTTCTGTTTAGGGCACGTCCATTCATAGGGCAGAAATGTGCAATGTGCAGATCAATGCATCTCCCCACTGCCCCGATGTCAACACTCTTTTGCCTTGAAGCACCAGGCAACAACTTCCCCGAAGAGAAGCTTCAGGACCGAAACCAGCCAAGTGCAGCGGCGAAAACTAAAAGCTCGATGCTGTGCCGCAACATGTCGTGCCGTGCCATGCGAGATGAGACTGGAAATCCAAGGCAAGGCACAGACTAGTAACAAATGCATCGCTACTAGTAACAAGGGCATTACGGCATTACTACTAGTAGCAAGAAGCTAGTCTTGCGGTAGCATTTGCCACATGTTTTTGCATAGGTGTTGGAGCAGTCTTCAAATCACGGCATCTCTTGTAAACGGCACACGAGTTTGCTAGGTCCGGTGTCAGGGATGTTCCGGAAATTATTTGCTGATAGGAGATGCTGCAAGGAGTGCCCCTGAACAGCTCCTTGGAAGAAACATATAAATCTATAAATATCTAATATATTCTTCCGGACGGTAGCTAAGACATGATATTCCGGGTGCTTGCTTACCTTCCGTTGTTGAAGCGCAATTGCTGTCACGGCACGGTGCCAGCTCCCCTTCGCCCCCCGAAGCGGACATCGCGGACAGTCTCGCAGCACTCCACGTCACGGTCTCAGCGAGTGCTTCAGGTGGCGCCGTGGAGTACCGCTGGCTGATCCCTTACCTTTTGGGCCCAAACGCTGAGGCACCGCGGTGGAGTACTGAAAGCTTGCACGGTGAGAACGCCACACGGTGGAGTCGTGAGAGAACGCCTTCAGGTCCCCGACCAGATGCCAAGATTCGCAAAGTTCAGCCAGAAAAGCCGAATTGAATGTTTGGATCGAAGGAGAACACATTGATCCAAACATGTGAAAAGAACCGCAGTCTCACACAGTCTCCAGATGTTTCGCGGATCGTCCACCACGCCACAACCACAACCATGGTTTTTTGAGGCGAGGTCGATGTTGCATGCACTGCAGAATCTCAGGCACCGGCACCCAAAACCGCTTTGCCGCCAGCTGCTCGCTTTCGCCGTGCAGTCCGGTGCCTCCTCTCAGTGTAGTTCCGGATTGGGGTCCCGGCGGGAGAAAAAAAAGCGTTGAAGGTGCATCAGAAAGGATGGGAATGAATCTTGGACCTGCTAGCTTGCTGTTTGAACGAACAAGGGATTATAGTTTCGTTGCTCAACTTCACCTTTGAAAGAATTTGGAATTGACACTATCAAAGCGACAGACAGTTCCAGATCTGGGGCTCAAGCACCTCTCAAGGAGGGTATCGCTGGCCTGATGTGAGCCATGCATGGCGAAAGCCGAAGGTGGCAAGGGCATTTACCAGGCAGGGCTGATATGGATCATGTGCGGTCGGAAAGCAAGACGCGACATGGCAACCCTTTTGAAGTATCAGCTGGCAAAAAGTCCCCACAACATCTCCACCATTCTCCATGGTGTGCGAAGTTGGCCCATCCAGGTAAACCCGCAAGAGACCTCCTATCACAACTTGCGTGCAGCACCCAGCCTTTTCTCGCCGATAGTGGGAACTTTGGAAGCCTACGATGTTGTCGAAGTGGCACAAACACTTCAGCTCCATGGTGGGGAAGCAGGTGAGGAAGTGAGGAAGTTAAGAGGCGTTTTGAACCAAACAAATTCATTTCTGTGCATGTCTGCTCATGTTTGGCCTTCCGCCTCTCAGTCACCTCTTCCAAACATTCCCGAAACAACTTTTGGTTCATATGCATGTTCCGGTGGCTCACGGATCGCTGGTTCGGGTGCAGGAGTGGAGCTTTGGGCGCAGCTGCTCCGGCGCAGTGCAGGCCCAGCAGCCTGGAGCCTGGTCTCTGACGAGTCCAGCTGCTTCTTGCAGAAGTTGAAAAGCGCGTCAGAAGCCTTGGAGAAGCCAAAAGATTGGGTGCCCAATGATTTGGAAGAGCCACCTATTGGAGAAGCTGTGAATTCCTTGAACTTCCTCATGGCGGCCTCCTTGAATCAAGATGGAGAGATGAAAGAGATTTTGGAGGCCGTGGCCTCCCACGAGCTCCAATTAGGTCGTGAAAGTGGAGCCGTGAAGCTCCTGGAAGCCGAAGCGCATCAGCTTCGCTCTGAGGCCCTGGCCGCGGAGCGGGAGCTGCTGCAGCGTCAGGGCGACCGCACCGCCACCCTGCGCCGCTTCCAGCGCGTGAAGCAGCAGGAGGCCTGGAACGCAGCCTGTGCGCAGATCGAGCAGCAGCAAGCACAGGCAGAGGAGATTCTGGAAGATGCCGTGGATGATGCCGAGGCTTTGTGCCAGGCACGCCTTGAACTGCAGCGCGCAGGAAGAGAGGAGCAGGCACCCACACGGCGCAAGAAGGCCGTGGGCCGTTTGGGGAGGCAGCTTTTGGCGAGCGCCGGGCTGGAGCAACCTGCGAAGGAGAAAACTGAGAAAAATGACAGCCATTTGGTTGGAGCCATGGCCTCCATGGAGACCTTGGTGGGGCAACGCATGCTTCAGGTTGGACGACCCTTGAGCTCTTTGGAAGAGGTTTCGAAGCCTTCTGTTTGGGAGCCTGAGGCGGAAGGATGAGAGGACGGATCAGTTGATGCGAAAAAAGCCGACTGTCAGCAAACAGATGGCCAAAGGATGCCATCCCACCGACCAGGAGCGAGAAAAGGCATGAAGACGTTTGAGGAGAAGATTGGTTTTGCTAAAGATTGCGCATTTTCAGGCAGATACTGGTAGAGAAAGGGTCAATATGTCCATTTAGTTGGTTTCACTGGGAAGGCTGGTGGTCCCATATACAAGCTCAGCTGCAATATCCTACAGTAGCTTGCCAATATGATTTTATACATGCCCTGACTGCCCTGAAAGACATGTGCCGCTCTTCCAAGGAAGCTCAAGATGTTGCGAATGGTGGCTTTCTCTTCTCGTGCGCCCGAGCAATTTCTCAGCTAGCAGTGGTAGTAGGTGTTGTTTCGAATCATGAGATTGGTCCTCCAGTGCTGCACTTCCCCTCTCTTGTGCCGTGACTAAAGGAAGAACTTCGCTTTTTATTGTTGTTAACTCCTTCTGCCAGGCACTTTCAGTGCAGAGAATGCAGTTGGGGTTGTTGAAGCAAATTTGGCCATCGACGAGGAATTTGAGCAGGCGAGACCATTTTTTGCTCCATGTCAAAAAGACCACGGCCACTTGGCTAGCGCACATGCGTTCGCCGTTCGCAGAGTCTCAGAGTTTTACCTGCTGCACTGTCCCACAAGCTGGCAGTGAACAAGAAAATATTATATGTATATATGTATATATGTATAGTAACGTCGTTTATCGGAAGGACCTGACAGCCCCGGGGCCCCCACACTCGCAAGTGAAGCTTTAAGATCTAGAAGTGTCTGAGAGGAAGCGCAATCGAGAACTGAGAACTGCGAGAGCTGACGTAAACACGTGCTACAGCACATTCCTGCTCAATCGGCTCAAGACCATACACAGTAATTAGGTAGCCAGGCAGGTCCTTGCTTGAAGGTCCGTGCTTGACATAGAACGCCTGAGACCATGGCTGATGCTTCTATTCCACAGAAAGACACGAAGCGACTTCAGGTGCATCAGCAGACCCGCCTTTGCAAGTTCTTCGTGATGGGCAAATGCACTCGTGGTCAGTCATGTGCGTTTGCACACGGACAAGACAAGTTGCGGCAGCAACCAGACTTCTCCAAGACAAGGTTGTGCGCAGACTTTATGGAATTGGGCAGCTGCGCAGAAGGAGAGGGAGACTTGGGACTCTTATGTTTCGGAAAGCTTCTTTGTTTGTGTGTGTGTCGCTATTTTGCCGCTTTCAACTTTACAAGCTAGAAGAGTCTAGAAGACTCCAGCAAGAAGACTCCACCTAAGGTTGGCACACACACACACATGATACTGTAATCACTGGAATATCAAATCTGTGAATCGTGTCGGGTGCATATCACCTCATTGGGAGCCAAGGATGCAAGTTCGCCCATGGCAAGAGTGAGCTTCGCCCAGGCTCCGCTGTAAAGATTGGCCGACCATCCAAGAAAGAGATGCAAGATAGTCCAGAGAAGAAGGACAAGGACCCTGCAGCCGTGCAAGGCATTCAAGCGGCCAAGATTCTTCAACTCCAACACTCCTTGCATTCTCAGGCTGCATTGAACCTCCTGATGGGGGGGGGCGAGCACGAAGCAGCCGAACAAGCAGCCAGAAATCGAGTCAGCAGATTCCTGCTTAGAGCCTCGTTCTGCTTAGAATTAGAATCTTGTGCTATGGGGTTCGACAGATGGTAGCAGACGGCTGGGGAAGGTGCGGACAGTCCGTTCATTCACCCCTCCCGCTCGCCTTGTACACATCACCACGCTGACAGGTCATGAAGGTTGCTTTGGCTCCCAAAGCCTACTGCACTTGACAGCAGGTCCTTCAGATGTTCTGGCTCTTGCCAACCGCCGACCCCCCACCCCAATCACATGCACACACCGCGGTTTGAGTTCATGTTCGTACGAGTCATAAACGATGTTTGGGGTTTTTGGTTGAAGCCGTTTTCGGATGTTTTCGGTGCTCAATGTTGTTTGACATGGCGGTCAAGGAAAAGCCGAGCTCTTTCAGCCGGCAGACCACCTGGGAGGGCATCGACACGGCCTCCGCCGCCTTCAGCCGCGGCACTTCTTTGGCAAGTGCTTGGGATCCGTTGCCAGACAGGACTGCGGGTGTCCCCCCGCCGCTCCCCGAACTCAGCGACTCGACAGAGGTGACACAGTCACGGGAGGTGACACACAGAGAGGCGATGGTGAAGCGATCGAACAACTGTTTGATGTTTTTGGAGGGTTGGTTTCGCATGGTTCACTATTCTGTTTGGGGGGGCAGATCGAACCGTGCTTTTTCTGAGATGTAACGCTGGTGAAAAAACATTGCCAAGAATCGTGACCACCCGAAGCACTGCCGGCAGCTCAAACTGCCTCGTCCACTCAATGCTGTTCATAGTCATATATAGTCTATGTATGTCTATGTGTGAACTATATAACATGTTTATATAGACTAAACACATCTTCCAGCTCCATGCTGTCCCCAATTCACTCCCCAAGAAGATCATAAATTGTGCCGACGATTAACATCGCTGAACATGTTTTTTTGTTCCTCATTCTCCTGAGAGTCATTGACATTGATAGGTGAAAGAGGTGGCGAACAGATGCGAGCTGACATGGTCTCCTTATTCCGGGGCTTCGGAGGTCTCAAGCGTCAAATGACCGAATGTTCATGGGCGGCTCATTAAAGTATATTAAAGTATATATTATTCCAAGGGAATCCTGACCCTGTCTATATCATTAGCAGCCCCCATGAGTTTTCTCATCAGTTCCGGTGGGTCATTAGCCATAGCATCGTCGTTCCGGTGGGTCCAAACGGTCGACCGTCGACTTTGGGTCGGAGGAGCTGTTGCTTGGAACGAGCCCAACAGCCGGGCCTAACACATGTTTACTTTCGAGTCGTCGAAAGTCCCATGCTACGACTGGTTGGAGGCCATTAGTAACAAGGTTCGCTACTAGTAACAAGTGCATCGCTACTAGGAACAGGTGCCTTACTAGTAGTAACAAAGAAGCTACTAGTATCAAGTGCCTTACTAGTAGTAACAGGGACCATGGCTATTAGGTTGGAGGCCATGGTCATTGTCTTTTGCGGGTGTGCCCAGGTGGGGCTCAAGCAGCGCAAACGTTGGATATGACATTCGACGTTTGTCGACGTGTATAGCACCTGACCTTTTGTGCTCAGGTGAATGGCAGGTCCAGGTCAAGAATACCTTCATTGAGGTCAGTGACAGCGATACAAGTGACACTGAGCAGGACCAAGGTGTCCTGCGGCGCACGCGCTCAGTGCCCCTTTTCTAAGTAGCAAGCATATGGCTTTTTAAACGCCGAAGCGGCACGGTTGAGTCAAGTCAAAAGTTCTTTTAAGGCAGCGTAGTCCTGGCATAGGAACTGCCAGAGCTGACAGCGCCAAATTCTTGTGCTCCCATGCCGCCCATGTCCTGGTAGCCCCTCAGAAGCCAAGAGGTGTGGTCTGGTAGCTGGTAGTGTTGAAGATGTGAGTTCCGAACTGGCCTGTTGATGCCTATTGCTTTGAGCATTTTAGCAGGACATGGGCAAGGTCAACAGTCTCGCGGCAAGTATTTGTATCAGGCTGCAAGACGCATAAGAGCAAAGCTGAGACGCACTAGATAGACTGAAAGTCTGATGAAGCACGGGCCCCTCAACCGTTCCAGAAAACGTCTCACGCCTTTTTTTGTGTACAGCCACTCTAGTCTCGGAAATGACCGGCACTCAAGAGACCAAGAAAGGACATGAAAAGACGTTGAAGGGCTTCCTCGTCGCCTACACTTGTTGCCATCAATGTCGTCCTGTAAACCTTTGTGCACCGGCAGGTCATGCGACGGATGACACGGGGCAAGACCACCGTGATCCGCGATTGAGCGACCAGGATCAAGCGAGGAAGAAAGGGCGTGCCGCAAATCAATATAATGTTGATTCAGGTTGCCCAGAACCAATTTCCGTTGTAAGCCAACAAGAATCAGCGAGAGAAGCAGCTGCAATATCAGTCAATCGTGGCACCGCTAAACAGATCGTCGATTGCATGACTAGTGGTCTTCCATGGTCTTCCACTTTTTGTGGCGAAGTGTTTACCAACTGTTCAACCTGTGAGGTGGATTGTTTTAGGTGTTGTTTGGCCGTTTCCGCTTGGTTCCCGCTTGACATTGCAGGCGCTGCAGTTTGTCAGGTCCATGTCAACGAACAATGTTGGTATGGCGGGTGGCAGCTCCACCCAGCGTATTTGCCCAACAGAGCGGTTTTTTGGACATTATATTATAGAGAAGAGAAGCAGACGTGAAGAAACGGCTTCTCTCACGAAGCTGGTGACGATAATTTGGCCGTCCGAAAGGCTCAAAGCAAGAACTGCAGGCGTCGAGAAACTGTTTTTGGACCAATCGCCATGGCCGCTGTCGTGAACTATGAGAAGGACATGAAGCGACTTCAGGTGCACAAACAGACCCGTCTATGCCGATTCTTTGTAGTGGGCGCGTGCACTCGTGGTGAGGCATGTGCCTTCGCACATGGGAAAGAGAAGCTGAAGCAACAGCCAGACTTCTCCAAGACGAGGTTGTGCGCAGACTTTGTGGAACTTGGCAGTTGCATGGAAGGAGATCGATGCTCAGGTTTGCTTAAGGTTATGCTAACTCTATACCTTGTTGTTTTTTGTTCTGAAGAGATCCCCAGGGCAGGTCGGTCGGAGCATGTTCGAGCGAAGACTCGCCCTTTGCAGCCTAGGATGCAAGTTTGCGCATGGCAGGTGCGAGCTGCGCCCATGATCAGCGCCCAAAATTGGTCGACCATCCAAGAAGGAGACCAAAGATATTCCAAGGAAGCAACAGGAGGACAAGGACTCCGCATCCATCAAAGCGGCACAAATTATCCAGCTCCGACACTCCTTGCATTCCCAGGCTGCATTGAAGCTCTTGATGGATTCGGCCAGCCGTGCGCCATCTAAAAAGGCTCAAGAGCAGCCAGACTTGGAGGCAGATTGCTGCTTGGAACCTTGTCAGACCCAAACCCATCCAGATCAAGCTGCAGCCTGGGGGGGTTGAAATGGGAGATGTGGTGGTGTTGCTGAGGTTTAAATAGAGGCAACCTGTCACCACACTAGTTGGCGATCTCCCATGCAACATCTGAGTAAAACGCGCAGTGACAACTATAGCTTTGACATGTTGATCGACAGTACGACTTTGTAGAGGATTGTATGATATGTTGTTGCGTTTGTGTTTGTTCTTCGCACGATGTATGTACAAATGTCAGCAGTTGTATGCTAGCTTGGATTTATGGGGCATTTATATAGTGCAACAACCCTGTCAGAGTTTCAGGTCGAAGGTTGCATCTACATTAGACATTGCAGTCTTTTATTTTCCTGTGAGTGCGCACTCATTCACACGCTAAGCAGGAGTGTTTGTCCAACACCTTAGGGCCGAGTCTATTTTGCAACGGAGATGGTGGACATAGCGATGTGATTCAATGTGTGTGTAACCCTTGGAATCATAGGGATCCTCTTGGATTTTTCAGGTTTGTTTTTCCAGTTTATGTTACAGCAGGGGGACTGCCTGGCTTGTAACAGTGGCAGTCCAACGAAGAGGCTGTTACAAGTCACTGATATGGATTCTGGACGCAGAATCCACGTAACTGTGGCGTTGACAAGCTTTTACTCCAATCTTCACGTAAAGGGCTAATGAGTTCTGCAGATGTGCACGCTACGTCGTCACCTTGTCGTCCGCTCGATCGGTGTTTTCTTTTGGAGCTGCTGGCCACCTGCAACCTTTGGGACCTCCGCTAGATGGACCTACACTTCCTTTTAGGTTTCCTTACCTGTACCCTTAGGAATTGGAACCCTAGGCCGGCGTGTGGCACCGCTTTCAGTTCAGAACACCCTATCCTAAGTGTGTTTGGCCTCGTGCCAACCCGGGATGAGCCCGCAGAGTGCCTCCCGTGGACCCGTCGAACGGGGGTACGTCGTTATCTCCCCTGCCCGGAGGTGTACGTGTCCGAAGCGGACAGTAGCTGGCTCATGCCACCAGAACTCCGATTTTGTCTCATCTTAGGAATTCCAAGCTGGCTTATGCCTGTACGTGACCGTAGCGGTCAAAGGTGGCAGCCCCTGGGCAAGCCGTGCGTGGTCGCAGCGACCGAAGTTTATTCAAGGTTCATTGGAACCTGTGGAGAACTTAGCCCCCTTCTCCCCCTGCCCTCCCCCCTTTCTTTCCTTGCTTTCTGGGGTTTTCCTGGATGTAATACTCAGGATCTCCCCTTTCCTTCTTTGGTGTGTCCCTGGACGATTGTTCGTAGCTGGGAACACCTTCCTTTCTCTCCTCTCCCTTTCTCTCCCTCTCTCTTTCTTCCCTTCTCTTTTTCCTCTCTTTACCCTCTTCCTTGGGCGTCCCTGGATGCTTTCGTCATAGCTGGGAGCCCTTCCTTTTTGGTGTGTCCTTGGACGCTTGTGCCATAGCTGGGAACACCTTTGCTTCCTTCTCTCCCTCCTTCTCTTTTCCTCCTCCCCTCCCCCCTCTTTCCTCGTGCGTGGCGTATTAACAAGCAAACTAGGCTTTTGCAACAGGTTTCTCAATGAGGTTTGGACTGTCATCGGTTTGCCCCCTTTCATTTGGTTCCCCCTTCATCCGCCCCCACAGACTTTTTTCTTTCCTTTCATGTCCTTCTGTCTTCATGTCTTTTCATCCTCATCCTTTCTTTCTCTTGCGTGTACTTTCGTCCGGACCTTAGTTTGTACACATACACGCACGCGTACTCTACTTACAACGAGGTTCAGGTGGCCCAGGTTCGTTACAATGAGGTTTGGCTCATCGGTTGTCCCTCTTCACTTGGTTCCTTTTCATCGGCAACCACACACACCTTTGTCTGTCTTGTCCTTCTCATTTTCATCTGTCCCTTTTGCGTGCACATGTGCTTACCTCCTTTCCGGGCATGATGGAGGTCACACATGCCTCCCTTCGGGCTGCTTGGTTGTGGCGTTGACAAGCTTTTACTCCAATCTTCACGTAAAGGCCGTAAAGGGCTAATGAGTTCTGCAGATGTGCACGCTACGTCGTCACCTTGTCGTCCGCTCGATCGGTGTTTTCTTTTGGAGCTGCTGGCCACCTGCAACCTTTGGGACCTCCGCTAGATGGACCTACACTTCCTTTTAGGTTTCCTTACCTGTACCCTTAGGAATTGGAACCCTAGGCCGGCGTGTGGCACCGCTTTCAGTTCAGAACACCCTTCAGGTTCTGCGCGTGTGTCACCCTCCGTTTCTAGGAGGTTAAACCCTTTCAAATGCGCAGGGGCGTGTGGCCCTCTTGTCCTACCACACGCAATGAAGCTGTGGACGAGGGGG